TGGCCAGCACATATGACAGTGAGAGAATTTTGATTTCTATCGCATAAAGCACCATGAGATGAACATCGATAATTATTATACTCAAACTATACTAAGAGTCCTTGATACACAGGTCAAATAATAATGATGATGATTATGATGATGATGATGATAAAATGTTTATATTAATATCCACTTTATTTACATGCAATAGGCTGGTGAGGAGCAGACTATCATTCTCATCCAGTTACCTCTTAGTAATATAGTGAGTGATGAGCTCTCACATACAGAGAGAGTTGGGATATTATCAGCCATTGAAGAAATTGAAAAAATACAAAGAAAAACAGGAAATAATCCAATACTGGTACACTGCAGGTAAGCAACAAAAAACAGCAATGATATACATACAAGTACTTTTATATACATGTACATGAACTCCTTCAGTGATACAGTATCAAGGAGTGGAGTCTTCTGTGTGCTCTATACTTCAATACAGCAAATGAAAATCGAACAGCAGGTTAATATTTATGAGATATTGTACAATATGAGGACTTGCAAGCCAGGATTGATAACCACACCAGTAAATGATGATATTATTATTATTAGCTCATGATGATTGATGATTAACATTAGGTACAATATAAGATGGTTTATTTGTTACTGATGCGTTATGTTGAAGAGTTTGAAGCTTATGGAAACTTTGAGGGTCAGAAAAAGGACACAGAAAGCATTTATAACGATTGAAAAAAAACAAAGACACTACTGAAATTATAATGTTTATATAATTATTATTAATAAAATTAACTATAGTTTATTTTGATTGCTTGATTGGTTGTGTCTTGTGTGTGACTGTTAAAATAATAATTATTAATTTTCAATAATAAAAAATTAAATTAATGAAACGATTGAAATGAATCCCATGAACAGAACAGCAACAATGAACAAAGTCCAATACTGCCATACCGGCCACATCGATACAATAAAACTAAAAATAGTAACACAATAAATTGAGTGCTATTAATAGCAACAAGAGTACCTTATAGTACCCATCACTCCGCCAATAAAGCCAATGGTAGGAGTCCAAGTACTGTCCCAATCAGTCAGCTTTAAACGAGGACTTCTTTTTGCTATTTTGTATACGCAAACAGCTCCTATTACCAGGGAGATGAAAGAAACAGCCTGCCATCCTCTTTAAAAGAGAAAAAAATCAAAAGATCCAGTATGAATTATTTCCATTCTTACCTTTTTACCAAAGGATTAAATAAAATATTTGAAGCGACTTCAAACAGATAAAGGACTCCAAAAGAGGCCAGTATCCATAGCAATGTGTCCCACTGGTCCTTTAAGTATCTCTTTCCTCTGATAAAACTTCTTTTCACTGTAGATCTGGCAGCCATT